AGAGAGAGAGAGAGAGAGAGAGAGAGAGAGAGAGAGAGAGAGAGAGAGAGAGAGAGAGAGAGAGAGACTCTAGTTGAACAGCGAGTCAATTCGCAGTTATCGAGGTCGATGTCAGGTCGTGATCTGTTTGGTGACTGACCACCTTTAAGAAGTGGTAGACCACCTTCAAGAAGTGTCAACCTTCACGAAGTGCCAAACAGTCGGCAGTAAGAGGACTGCAGTGCCAAAAGCATTCTTAGAAGACCTTGTGGTCGTGTTCAGAACATATTGGCGTAGCACTAGATGCTCACCAAGCAGTTCTGGATGTCGGTTATATCGACACATCATAAGATGCCTTACAAGCAAGCAGCGGCTGCTTGCAGGACCTTATACCCGGTATGGATCTTTGAGAGCAGAGTTTCGCACCAGTTCAATGGAACCATTAGCCATATGGAACCACCAGTTCAATCACAAATGTACGACATCTGAAGTGTGAATATGTTCGCATTTCTCATATGGAAACATTAGCCAGCATTCCGTGGAGAGCACGAGATGTATTCCGAGGATAACAAAATTGGTGATCATTCAGTGCACTGCTGAATCCGTAAAACAACTTCAAGCACACATACATTCTGGCGACAATTGGTTTCCGAATCGAGAACAAGTTCGCAACTGTCATAAGGAACCAACAGACAGCATTCAATCGAGACAAGCAGAGGGGGTGAACCGTTAAACGGGGCGACACACGCAGAACAAGGGCGAGTCAAAACATATGAAAACTAGTTGGTCGGGGTGGGGCGGGGGAGAGGGGCTTTCACACCACAAAGTCTCGCGAACGAAAGAGATAAGCACGAAACAATTTGGCGACCAATAATAAATCGTCGATATCTTTCACATGAGTAAAAGAGGAGCACAACCTCGAAACGAACAAACGCAGCACGGTGTTGCCGTGGTCTGAGAGGACATAAGGAGAACAACCCGAAAATAAACAAAAGGAGCACAAAGTTGGGATATTCACATCCGATATGTAAGCGTCTACTTAAAAGGAACTGCACCACGTGGCTGTGATATTTACATCGGCATCTCAGCTTCTACTTCACGTAAGCGTCCGCTGCTACCCTCTAGCTGATGTTGCGCGGCAAGCAATGAGAACAACCCGAAAACAAACAAAGGAAGCACGGCGCTGCCGAAAGTCCTACGAGTAAAGATGACAGGCTCCACGAAATGAAGAACCCTTAAAAAATTGATACAGCACGAGGCTGGGATATTCTTATCGACACTTAAGCCTGTACTTGACCAAAACGTCCACTGCAATCCGGCACTCATGAAAACAACAACACAGCTCGAACCGGCTGACTGCTAGATCAAGTGGGAATAGATTCGCACTTCTGCTTATGGCCTTTCAAAAAAAAACTACGCGTATTTTAACAACAGGGGTATTATTCAGAGCCTTGGAGTATGTCCATCGCAATCCTCAGCCTGATGTTTGCAATGTCGCTTTGGGCTATCGGAAATGGTGGCGGATAGCCACGTGCAACAAAAGAAGCGAAGGCGAGCATGAAAACACCGCAGCTCGACCCGTCCGACTGTTGAGGGACACCATGAGCAACCACCTTGCGCGCCGGGAGATCCAGTTTGGCTTGTTCACCATATCGACAAACCGCTTCATCACGGAGGTATTGCGTGAAGTTCGCAAGCACATCGGAAGAAAAACCGCCATCGTCTTGCAGGAGGGAGTCGTAGTACTCCAGCCCTTGTTCTCGGACACATAATAGGGTCCAATGCACTCGATTTTTATGGACAGGAATCAAGATCATGCCATACGAGAAAATATCCACATTTTTTGTCCATTTCGCAACCCTTTCATGTCGATAGCCGCCACCGACGAGCTTGGAATAGAAAAAGGGACTGAAAATGTAAAGAGAGGGACCCCCAGGAAACGCAGCGTTGGCAAGCAAGGCCAAGTACGACTCCACCACCTCGTCGGAAAGCCATCCCCCCTGGACAAGAGTTTGAAGACTTTTTCTGGTCAACGGAATCGAACTGGGACCTCTGCGAACCGAGGAAACCACCTCCTGGCCGTTGTTGAAATCTCCGCAGGTAGGAATAAAAAAACACCAAACGTGGGCCATCGAAGGCGACATAACTAACTGTTTTGATTCTATAGATCACAATGTTATCATGCAAATTATCAAAAAAGAGATTGTCTGTGAGAAATTACTAGCGCTGGTGAAAGGGTCGCTTAAAGCGGGATACAAAACCAATGTAGGCAAAGTGCATATTCCCGGAACTCCACAAGCTCTTCCGAGCCTGTGCATTCTAAAGTCCGTAGCGCTAAGCTCCTCAGTAGGCAAGGGAACGCGAAAACATGATGTAGCCCCAGCTCCACAAACACCCACGAACAAGTGTGAGGAGTGAGCACAAACCCCGGGGCGGAATGGCTAAGAATTGTCTGCCCTTTTCCCAGAAAAGTTGTATCCCCAACTGTTGAATGTGTCATTCGCGATGTACTTAGGACACGGGTCTTTCAAGACACCCCGTTCGTCATCGTCATCAGACCCATCAGACAAAGCAGTAACGCTCTCAATAGACGCAGCCAAATATTTCCGACCTTCCTCCTTATCTATTCCGCAAGCCTTCAGAACCCTGACAGCTCTCTGGGAAAGGCGAGGCATCTGGACCCTTTTAAACAACCCTACACTTGACGACTTCTTCGGTAAAGCGGCCAATGACCTCCTTGAAAGACGTTTCTCGCGCACGACTTTCAAAGGCTTCATGGGCAGGGACATTAACAACCTCACACCTTTAGAACATAGAAAACAACCCACAACCCACAAGCTTTTTTTTAACGAGTGGTAATAGGTACATTAGCCCATGACATCAATTTGGACGAACACAGAGCTGGCTATTGACAGATATGCGAGTGGTCCTATTCACAAATCTTACCGTGCTCGGGAGCCCTTTGAGGGAACTCGCCCTCCTGTCGCGCCACTGCGCCAACGTCCACGGACGATTCGAGGTTTTGGACCTCGGTTACGGCTGTGTCGCTGACCAGCTCGATGGCAGTTGAGTGGCTTGGCAAGTCGATGGCTTCATGAACCACCATTTCCCGACCGGTATTGAGGACAGATGCTCGATCACCCTGATCGGCGCCGCAACGGGTGGACGGAGAATCATGATCTTTCCGCTCTGGATCCATCTTGATGCAGACGGCCACCTCACCGCCTTCCACGGAGGATTCGACGTTCTGCATCTCGGTCACGCCTGAGTCGCTAACCAGCTCGGTGGCTGCCGAGTCATCACCCACCTCTATGGCTTCACGAAGCACCATTCCCCGAGCGGTGCTCATGACAGACGCTCGACCACCCTGTTCTTCACCGCAACGGGTGGGCAAAGAATCACCATATTTTCGTTGTGGATCCGTCCGGATGTCGACAGTCACCTCAGAGCCTTCCACCACGGGTTCTCCGCCTTTCTCATCGCCATGAACATGAGCTTCCACCACGGGTTCTTCTTCGTCTTCATCGTCGTCAAGAACGGGAGCTTGCACGGACGTCCACTGACCTCCCTTAAGGACACCCTCTCGCGTCGTGGCCACAGCCGAGCGACTGTGCAGAACCTCTTCGGATGTCCCGATCACCAGCGCTCGTGCGTGGAGCCACTTTACGTCTTCACGAGCCGGCCCGTGTCGAGTCTCCTCTCCCCGCTGTACAGCATGCGTTTCCCCCCGAGCTCCTGCACTCTCGCTGTCAGTGTCCACGGACGCACCCTCCGAAGTATGACGTTCACACTCGCTACCCCCGGTCTCCAACACTTTGCGAGACTGCCAACGTTGAGTCTCCTCTTCCTGATGTACAGCACGCGTTCCCAGAGAGCGCTCGTCTTCCCCAGGAGTGTGACGTTCGTTCTCGCTACTCCCGGTCTCCAACACTCCTGGAGCGGGCCCCTCCAGCACGTCGCAAAACCGCCAGTCTCGAGTCTCAACACATGAGAAAGGGGGCGAGCAGGGTAACCCTGTGTCCAACTGAAGATGCGGGGGTCAGGACGTCACATTTTCTTGGCCCCGCGGAACTGTTGCGTGAGGAGCACTTATGGCGGAGGGTGACGTCAGCAAATTCGAATGTATTCGGAGTTTGTGGCGGCCGCCCGAGCCGAGGGAATCGGAGGTCGCACCTTCGCTCCTTTGCAATGCAGGCATCCCGCCCTCCAGGCAAAACGAAGACGCGCCCTCTTTCAGGAGCAAGGTGTTGAGCACAAGAGACCTCTCCTGGGCAATGGGAAACAAACTCCTCGCAGACAACTGTGAATCTACTCGCACTTGATCAGACGTCAGGGTGGCCTCGTCTCGCATGTCGAAATCTCGACTCCCTACACAGTGAGGGTCAGTTTCCATATACTGGGGACTCCCGGACGTTCTACGCTTTCCGCCCGACCCCTTCCCGCCCGACCCCTTCCCGCCCGACCCCTTTCCGCCCGACCCCTTTCCGTCGGACGCCTTCTCTACCGACGATGTCTCACCCGTCCCCTTTCCGGCAAACTGTGAGCCGTCTCCTCCGCCACCTGCGCCGTCTCCTTCGTCTCCACCACCACCCCTTCCCGGATGCTGACCGGACGGCGGAGGTTGCGGCATGCGCTAGTCAATGCCACGAGACGGTGCCGTTTCGAGTGCGTAGAAAGGCGCTCGAAACTCGAACATGTTGTTGGCGTACAACTCATCTAGCTTTTGTTTTGCATACTCATCGACGTCCGGATCGTTCCTCTCGGGATTCATGAGACTCAAATGCTCCACCAGAGCAGTTCTTGCCTTTCTCTTAAATGCACCCGCTCCCAGTCTCTTCAGTCCACTCCACTTGCCATCGGCCTCCTTTATTGCCATGACCCATATTCCATTCCTCRCAGCAGGTTGGAATATCCTCGGGTGCGAGACGACGTTGTGTCCTCAGACATCCTCCGACGTGAGCCGGTGATGTTTGCCGAAGAAGTAGAGTCTGTCATTCTGCCAGGTGTAATGGTCTACAGGGAGCCTGTCACAAGGTTCGTGATCATTGTCTCTCTCTTCCTCCCCGTCATCAGACGAATGGTCGTCGACTGGTTCGCCCCGAAACACACGCTTCAAACCGGCAGGGGACGTGCTATATCTCCGAGGGTCTTCTTCCTCTTCATCACCAACCTGTCCAACCACCCGAGGAAGTGGCATGGACTCGAAATCGAAGGTTTCGGAGTCGCTCAGCTCCTCCATGTCTTCAGCGTTGAAAGGGTCCTCCTCGTCAAGCTGTGACTTGTAGTTTTCGAGAGTGAGCGGTTCGGCCAGCGTGAAGTAAACGTTGTCCAGCCTTCTCAGGAAGTGCGAGACAGACTCCCTGGGTGCACCGGGGTACCCATTGAGCACAGCGAACACCAGGTTTCTCCGTCGACTGTATTCGAGGTCGGTCGGACCAGGCGGTCCGGGTCCGAAAAGGAAGTCCCAAACGTCCGTCCTTTTGTTCCCCGGCAATTTCCAATACATGTCACGTTTGGGATCCCAGTTTCGTTCGTCGGTGGTGCGGACAAACTCGAAAGCATTGCGAGTGTCTGCAACGTGTGTCTTCACGAACTCGTGAACGTAGTCGATCATCCTCGCCTCCTTCTCCAACGTGACGACGTTCCGACCGGTGCGGAGGAGTCCCCACACAACAGACGCATGCGCCTTCCCAAAGAAAAAAACAGTTTGCCCAGCTTTGCAAAAGTTTTCGAGTAGACCAAGTAGACGGGATGGGTTACGCTCCATCTCTCCATAAGCAGGACCTTGAGAACTTGTCACGCCCCCGTCCTCCCACATGCTACGAGAGAACCTTTCCTCTTCCGCCACGTCGAAACACGCCACAACATGTCCTGATGGGTCCGACAAACACACAGGTTTCGAGCAGGCCGCCACCGTGTGTGTGGCCGGACTTGGACCTTGGGAACAGGAAGCCTTTGTCGGGCTACTGGCCGGGTAGACTGCGTATGTGTTGTCTTCCAGCTTCTCGCCATTAAATATCACGTACAGGCGGTCACACTCCTCAACCAGCATATTGCCTTCCCSGACAGTGGCCTGCTTTTGTGCATTACGTACCCACTTCCCTGTCCTGACGTGATGGACGTTAAGCCTGGTCATGCCTTTCAAGAAACCGAGCTCCCAACGAGAGGGGAACAGGATCACAAGTGCCCAGTGCGTTGGCGAAAATGTTTGTAGAAGGCCTTGCAAGTTGGCGAAATCGTCTTCTCGCCAGTCTGTGAGGAGTGTGGGATCACACAAATTGAGGACGTACAGGTTGCACACGTAATGTCGCACAACCTCACGGATCGCAGTGACATGACTGTGAGCTTGGGAAGGCGGGAAAGCGAAAGGAATAAGGCTGGTCACCCGCTTGAGGTCGGGTCATTTGATGTCCCTCACATCCCCGCTGACCCTGATCGTGTCTCGAACTTCTTCTTCCGTCCGTCGCAAGCTGGAACGGACAGACTTTTCGAAAGATTTAGGGAACCTGTCATCATCATACAATCTCTTCACGTCGTCGATGGACTCCTTCTCGTGCGGAAGAGTACGTTTGCAAGTGTTCACGTACTCCACCGCGCCCTGGAAATGCTTTCGCATTTCGACCCACACCTGTTTCGTGAGGCCCTGCGGCCCGAACTCCTCCAGAAGCTTCCCCTCGGTCCGAAAAAATGGGCTCCCGTGGCGCCAAACACGTTCGTTCTCCTTCGTTTCAAGGAACAAGATGTAGTGGAACATACGGAGCATCACACGGTCCACTTTCCTCGTCGCGAGCATTTCTTTAATTCCAGGTTTATGCTGACGCTTCAGATGGCCGCCCGCGGATTGCACGAACACTCCCCGTAGTGCGAGAATGTCGTCGAGGATCGACAGTTTCTCGACATCGGTCATGTCGGCGAGAGACTGCCAACAGAACATGTTTGGCTCCTTTACGACAACGAAAAACTTGTCGTCCGCTTGCGTTTTCTTTTTGGTCGGAGGCGGCGGGACCCGGACCAGCCACCCCATCTTCGTTTCACCAGCCGTCCCTTTCATGCCAATTTCAGGAATTGCTTGCAGACCCGGAGATTTGTCTGGCATGTATTTATCCGGCCTCGACAATGGCGTTTTGCCGTCGCCGCCCAACAACTTTCCCTCCGCCCATTTCGCGTAGAACTCCATGGCTTTGCGAAAAACGTCATCACCGGCCGTCACGACCGGCATCCACTGCCTCAATGCATTGCCAACGGCAGCGACATAATCCTTGTCGGCGAGCGACAAATCTTTTTTTGCCAACGTCCAGTGAGCTTCGTTCGGACTCTTTCCCAAAAGCAGCTTCTGGAATTCGAAAAACTTTTGTTTTTCGGCCTCCTTCCCGAAAGGGTTCCCTTGAATGGCCATCGGCCTTCCTTCTTTCTCCCATGCCTCCCGCATGTCCAAGAACGCGGCCTTCTGCGATCGCTGCTTAGACATCTTGTGTCTCGTGTTCTCGTTGAGACTGACCTGCCTATACCCCGCGAAATCTCGGTCGGAGAACCACACTACTCTCGCCGGCCAGGAGTGCATCTTCCACAAATCGAATATTGGCTCACCCTCCAACTCCTTCATAGTAGCCACGGTGTGTTGTCCGTTAATAGGGTAATAGTAGTACTTGTCCTTGTCCTCCAGCTTGAAGTCATCTTTGTGAACCCTGTTAGCTATCTCCGGCCTACGCGTCACCGGCTTGTAGATGGGTGCCAGAACCAAAGGGTTTTTCGTCCAGATCTTCCCCCTTTTCTCGCGGTATTGACTCAGCATCGCAGCCTTGATGTCGTCCACAGTTTCCCGATTTAGACTGCGGTGGTTGTAATATCTTTCCCAAGACGGGATGTCGCAGACCTTCCTGGGGTCGATGAGCAGTTGGACGGGGAGCTCCTTCTCCACGATCTCACCCCCATCGTTCCGCTCGTATTCGAGCCAGAACGCTGCCGCTTCGTCGCACTCCTCACCGACAGGCCGTTCGCCCCCGCTCGCCGCCTCAGCAGTCTTCCGCCTTCGAGGTTTCTTCTGGTCATCGCCTTCTTCAGCTGCCACTTTCCGTTTTGATTTCCCCAAAGGTTCTCTCGCGGCCGCAGCGCTTGGATCAGCCGAATCTCCTCCACCCACGGCTTGTCCTTCGCGGATGGTCAAACCGCCGGGCCTCCTCGCTTTCTTACTTGCCGTCCCACCCTCTTCCTTCGTCGGCCTCTTTCCTGAGGCACGTTCTCCGTCGTCACCTCCATCCCCGCCCATCACCGCCTCCGGTTTTCCTCTCATCCTCTTCATGCGGAGGGTTCCTTCCGCCACCTCCTCTCGCACCATCCTCTGTCGCTCGCTCTTCTTCTCCGAAGGAGTCTGCTCCCTGCCAGAGCTTTCGCGGACAGCGCCCATCCCTTCAGCCTCATTCCCCCCGACATCTAGCCCCGATCTGCTTGAATCTCTTCTCGTCTCATCTCGAAGCGAATACGTGTCGCCGCCGCATCGGACCTTGATAAGTTTCGGAGTACCGACCCGTTGAGTCCCTGTACCCTGAGAATGCAAGTCCGACGTGTTCCTAGGAGCATCCGGGCCGACCTGCGTGTGAACGCTGCGTCCCTTGACCCGACCCCCAGCGTCTTGAATCGGACTCCCGCGCCCCACTGCCGTACCTGGAGTTTCTTGAGCCAAGCCGGACGACCCCTCATGGGGTGGCAGAAGCCGGAAAACATGATCTCGCGGAACAACCGGACATTCTTTCGGCACCATCAGCGCGAGATCGAGATATTGCTCTGGCGATGGAAGACGCTTACTGCCGCCATCGTTAAGGCCTTTGAAGTGAGAGCACAACGGCATGTTCGAGTCGTACCCCGGGAAACTCTTGATGGTCACCAGCACACTTTTAACACCTCTGATAGGCAGTCTGCACTCGTCGTACAAGCCGTTAGTGTGCAGCTTGAGCAAACCTTCAGGAGTCTTCGCGCACGAGACAACAGTACCGAGAGGAACAACGTTGACCGCTCCCCCAGCGTCTGTAACGCAAGTGGGTCGCATGAAAACAGCTGGCCCAAAAAGGTCCCCCTGAACAACGAAGTCCAAAAACCATGGTGCTTCCTTTGCGTGCATATACTGAGGAGTAGGTTGCTGTACAGGTCATCCCTCCCCGGGGGCAGATGGTCCAGCGCTTGTGGATGTGTTCTTTGCGTTCGTCATTGTATTCCCACCCGTTGACTAGCACGCCCAACCTCAGACCAACTCGGATGACTAATACGCCCAACCCCAGACCACTACAGAAGCGAAGTGCGAACTAACTCGGACTTAACGAAATGGAGGACGAAAAGGGCGTAAGAGATGGGTGTTCGAAATGCACACGAAGTCACAACAATCGGGTGAAGGATAGGAAAGACAAAAGTTCGGAGGGAAGACAATAACTGTTCGGAAAGATTGCGACCCAACTAGATGCCGTCGAAACGAGTAAGATGTGGTTTATCGACAAGTGCGAAGGGTGTCGACAAGTGCGAACTAACTCGCAGTTCTGTAGACAAGACAACAATGGCAACCCGCTGCACTAGGGGAAAGTGCGAACTAACTCGGAATTGTGGAAAGACGCACGAAACGAGTAAGATGTGGTTTATCGACAAGTGTGAATGAACAAGTGAGAACTAACTTGCAGTTCTGCTCTTCGCAAGTGCGAACTAACTCGCAGTTCTGTAGACCAGACAACAATGGCAACCCGCTGCACTAGGGGAAAGTGTGAACTAACTTTGAATTGTGGAACTGAAGACCTGAAAGACGCACGAAACGAGTAAGATGTGGTTTATCGACAAGTGCGAATCGACAAGTGAGAACTAACTCGCAGTTCTGCTGACAGGACGAATATTGCAACCCGAAGTACAACAGGAAAGTACAAACTGACTCCGAATTGTGGAAATGAAGTCCTAGTTTATCGACAATTGCGAAGGGTTTCGACAAGTGCAAACTTACTCGCAGTTCTGTAGACAAGTCAATAATGGCGATGCGCAGCACTAAGGGAAAGTACGAACTAACTCGGAATTGTGGAACTGAAGACCTGAAAGCCGCACGGGTTGGGTTGTCAACTCTCCAGCAGTGTTGCTCAAAAAGTGCGAACTAACTCGCATTTGTGGAAATAAAGAACTGCCTTTAATGAAATATGTGTCTAACCTTGGGAAAACTGCGAATAACCTCGCAGTTGTCACTCCTCGAACACTGTACGTCGCAAACTGCGAATTGACTCGCAATATCTCTCTCTCTATATATATATATATATATATATATCAGGTCGGCGACCTCACAAGGGACAGGTGAGCGAAAATCGGGAATTGATTCGGTGTTCAGTGTAGCAATATATCTCTATATATACATATAT